CAGGGTACCAAGAAAACAAAACAAAAAGCCTAGGCTGTGCCAGACACTGAAAACCAAGCTCTGCATTCTTTTTAGGAGGGAAACCACCTGTAGATGACATACCTGTGTGCTGGGTATCTCAGACGCCAGCTACCCACAGCCCCAGGACTGTTTTCCAAGAAGACATCCTTCTGCAGGCACCCTGTGTTGTGAACAGCACATCTTTGTTCTTATGACTGTGTCTGTCTGGGACTATTCTGATTTTTCACTCCTCTCAGTTTTTACTCTGCCTTTCAGAAACATAAAAGCCACTTGGGGGTGACCTGTCAGAAATGAGGGTACAGAAATTCCTAAGGGCACTTGGGCTACAAATGGTCTGCAGGTATGTACACCGAGGCACCTGAGGCCCTTCCGGGAAGAATACGCAGTAAGGAAAGACCTGGCACTCCAAGTGGCCGTGTCTGTGAACTAGGTTTCAGTTAAAGGCCCACAGAAGCCATTATAGGTAAGCATGGAGCATGGTCTGGCTTATTCCTGTGGTCCTAGGTGGGGTTGAGGCTTACTTCTTTCTTGGCAAAAGAGTCCATGTGGTTGAGTGAGACAGTAGACAGAAGAATGGGCCTGGGGCAGGCAGTGTGATGGGCCTCTCAAGGTGGGTAGGGGGATCATGTGCCATGGAATTTTATACAGAGCTAGTAGCGGTAAAATCACAAGAATGCATGGTGTTTAATCTCAGAGCTACAACCTTTGTGTCACTTAAAGGGCTTAAAAACACCTATACTAAAAAAGTGTTTGCTTTACTTACATAATAAAGCATATTCAAAATGTCAAAGTAAGCTTTATTGGCTGAATGAACAGCAGCTACCCATAGGGTTTTAAAAGGTTCAAAACCCCTTGAGGAGATCTAAGATATATTCATTAATTTACCGAGCAAATAATCCAGTTTAAGAACTACTGATTCCCCCTGCCCCCAACTCCTTTGCAAGTGTCACACTAATAGTAGGGACAAAGGCTCCAGGCTTCTAAAGCAGGAATGGCCATATACCAGGAGGAGTGACTTCGGGAAGAGCTGCAGTCATCAGGAGGCCCACCACAACAGCAAGTGTCCAGTGCCAATGATCTCAGCACCCTGTTGTGCCTCCTCCCTGAGGAGGAGTCTTCCTTGGTGGTGTTACAGCCACCTAGGTCATCCTGTCCCATCGCAGTGGCTTTGAGAAGAAAACTGTAGAGGGTGCTGTTCGTAATCACCAGAAATGCTGATTATGGCCACAGCACAACCATGCTAGTAACTTCCTGTGGGAAAATGCAGGCCAAGAGTATACAGAAGGAAAGCACCCCACAACATATGTCAAGTAGCTGCCATGGCCCTTCTCAGGCAAGGCCCAGAGAAGCCATCTTAGGCAGTGCCCTGTTACCATGTCATCTAATACCTGGGGGTGAGTGGGCACAAATACAGCAGGCATTTACAAGAGACCTGACACTGTGGCTACCTTGCTTATGGCTGGAGACTCTTCCTCTACACGGTTGGGTCCTCTCCTCATAGCTGGAGACACTGTCTGTCCCTTCTGTGGGAATCTGCATAACAGATCACAGTGCTGCCCCCTGTCGTGAGTGAGACAGTGCCACAGGTGGAGCACTTCAAAGAACAGCTGGGTCTCTGGCTGGAGACGCCGCATTGTGGACATCCCAGTACTGTTTCCAAGATGGATAAAGACATTTTATTCATGGCTAAGGAAGCTGAGTCGAAGTACAACATGATAGCAAGTCCATGGAGGGCATTTCCTCAAATACAAAGATCCTTACATTGGTGACAAAGCTTCATCTGGACCTGCCCCAGGCTAGCCCTGCCTGGGTAAAAAGAAACTTTTAATCTGGCTCCTTAGCTGCCTGGATGCTCTAGGCCATGTATCCTGGAAGGGATGGTACAGGCAATGTAGTTGCATTAGTATCTGCTCAGCCATAAATGGGGAGAATGTCCAGGTCCTCTGGGCCAGCAGCAGGCTATCGGTGAGACTTTCAGTGAAGCAGGAGCATCACTTAGCAAACTTAGAGCAAGCCCTCTTTCAGCAGCCACCCCTCTTCCTTGGAAAACCCCTCTCTAAAGTGTGCCTCCTGTAGAATCAAGAGGACTACAGGCCACCTGGGTGGTTTTGCAGATCCATCAATCTGCCAGCAGATGACATAAACTCACCCTCCATGAGGCCAGTGTAGCTCAGCCTGTGCTTTGGATACACCTAACATTCAGCAGACCGCCATAAAGGCCAACAGCCTTCTGACAGACCAGGAGGCAACACTGATTTTGATGTAGTCTGAGAGCCCTGACTCCTCACAGAGGTAGCGGCACCCATGAGAAACAAAACCCATCCACACCTTGAGAGCCCCCGTGGCCTGTGCAGCAAGGCAAGATCTCCTGGTGCTTTCTCTGAGTTCCCACAGTCCATTCTTCAGTCCCCATCATGCTCTGACCCACAGCAAAGGAGAGGCAGTAGGGAGACAGGGTGTCTCCCACCTACCACCCTTTGGTGCCTGTTCCAGCCCCACTATCTCTTGGCCTCCTGCTCAGCAAAGTAGCCAACACAGTTCTGGCTAGAAGCTAATAGGAAGCTATGTGGTTTAGGGCAGACTGATGACCCCCTGGGCACTTATTGGCTTTCAAGGGGGACACAAAATGCAGAATGCTTTATTTCCATGATAACTGCAGCTGCCCAACTCTGCCCAGGTGCCATAAGGAGGCAAAGGTCAGGCAGCAAAGCTAATGGCCCTGGTGAGCTCCTTCCTGGCTTTGCAAACAGGCCTACTGTATGGAATAGCCATATGTGCTCTCACCCACACAGCAAAACTGTCCTCCCACCGAAACACACCTTAAAGAACCGATTCAGAGAGTGCCCACTATCCATTCTGAGTCTGTCCAGACTGGCTTTTTCTTATGGCCCATGCTCCATCCAGAAAAAAAAAGCCTACTGCGAAGAAACTTCTCTGACTTTTCCCTAACCACAGGCAGCTCTGGGTCGACTGGCACTGGCCTTCTAAGAGTCCTTTACTCCCACACTAGCCTCTCTGCTCCAAGTGGAGCCTCTGGAGAGTTAGGGAAAACATTATTTGCAGCAGGACTGCTGGCCTCAGGCAGCAAGCTGGCAAATCAGCCCAGAAACTCAAGCATAAGAAAGTGCAGGTCTGGGAAATAAGTCTTTCTGGCCTCCAGTTGCTACCCTCTTGGTATACTCTCAACAACTTTGCACACAGTGACAGAGATCTCCAAAGGCAGATCTTCCTCCCACTCATTTCAGACTTTTGTTCATGAGACTGAGAATGGACACCAAAAGCCCAGCAGGACAGTGCAGGATTCCATATTTCCATAAGGAATCTAACTGTCTTGGAAATTGTATAGGCTCCAGAATGGGTGTTCTTTTCCTTCCTCCTTAATGGCTGGGCTACTTCAGAGGCTGAATGGACAGTTGGGGGCAGGGAGCCTGAATAGGTCCTCTGCATATATGTTTTGGTTTTGGTTGTGTCTTTTGTGAGACTCCTAACAGTGAGAGCTGATGGGTGGGAAGTGTCTTTGACTCTTTTGTCTGCTCTTGAGACCCTTTTCCTCCTACTGAGTTGTCTTGTCTAGCATTGATATAAGGGTTTGTGCTTAGTCTTATTGTTATGCTGTGTTTGGTTGACATCCCTGGGAGACTTGATTTTTTTTTTTTTTAAGGGAACCAGAGGAGTGGATCTGGGGGAGAGGGAAGGTGGGGGAAGAGGCTGAAAAGAGTAGAGGGAGGGAAACTGTGGTCAGAATGTAATGTATGAGAGGATTAAAAGGAAAAAAGATGCATGGCTACCAGGAGACACTGAACACCCAGGATCCCCCCTTCCCACTACCCACTGCACATCCAGGGATGACAGCTGCATCCACTGAATATTCAGGGAAGCCCCCTGCACCTACTGGGCATCTAGAGAGACCCTTTGCTCTACAAAGTTCAAAATGTAACCTGTATGCCTGCCCTGATGAGGTACCCTTAGCTTAATTAAACATAGAAGGATTTTAATGGCACATCACTCATTTCTATCAACCAAAGGGAGACACCTGCTCAGCTGTCTTTAAAAAATAATTTTCTACTGAGGATGGAAGATTAATGTGTGACAATACTTGGAACTGAGACTACTAATGAGAAGACAGTAATGTGAGGTACTGCATGACTTTATGCTGTTCTTTCTGTGGCCCCTGAATGTGAATTACCTACTGTTGCCACATGCTTTAAAAGTCCCAGGGCAGGTGGGCATGAAAGGTGAAAGGTGGGAGGTGTCTCACTTTTCTGCAACCTCCACTTTTGTTGCCACTAGGGAAGGTGGTGCATCCTAATCACATAAGAACCGGGAGATAATAGTTGCAAAAAGCCAGAGCTCAGGGTGCCAGCAGTCATTTGGTGCAGACTCGGGAGCTCACTACAGAGAAATCTGCCCCTTAAGCCAACACTGTAGGACTTGCTCCCATTGGCAGGATACTTTCACCGCACAGTTTCATTCCAACCTCAGTGGCCACATCACTTGTCTTGGGGCCAAAGTTTGCCAGCTGTAGTCACTCTAGGGACTCCAGGACTCTGTTATTCAGCCTAGAGCTCTTACAGTAGTCAGCATAGCTTTGGAGTTCCCCAAACTAAGCGAACCTTGATTGATTAAATCAAGTAGAACAACCAGTTTCCTTGTGTTTGATGAGGGTTAAACAGTGAGATGAAAGTTTCCCAGTGGGAAACACCCAGAGACCAACAATCTCCAGCTCTACAGGTATCAGAGTGGCAGTTCACAGTGGTCTCCAGAGGCTATTTCCTATTAGACTGCAGGACAGAGGGATGCCTATTCCTAAAACCAATAATGGCTGACTGGCTGAACAACTGTACAGACATCCCCTCTCTATAATCTATGAAAATGGTGACATGAAAGTGGCCTAAACAGATAGCATTTCTCTGCCACTAATTTGTTTGCCTCAAGGAAACTCAATGCCCAAGCTGAATAGGAAACCCATGCTCACCTACCTCTACAACAGACTTGGAATCCAGGCGGAAGTTGAAATCACCAAAGACAAAGTAGGAAACCTTCTCAAATCGCTGGTCAATGATTCTGGGAGGAGAAAAGGAGAAAGTGGTTACTGACACTGCAATGCTGAACAGCCCAAAAGGGCCTAGACCAGCTATCCCTCCATGCTCCCCAAATGCTTTCTGCTACAAAGACACTATGGTGATTGTTTCTTGCATTGCAAAATCTAGCACAAAGGCTACCTACCATCCGCACACTACAACCAAACAGCACTCAACTGTTCTTTGCTGGCCAGGAACATGTGGAAATAGAAGTGCTAACAGGACTAGACAGATACTTGAGGGTGAGAACAGCATTCAGAAGAAGCAGGAAAAACTGACGGAGAGCTTGTCTTAGGGAAGAGGTATGCTTATGTTTGCAAGGAGGACCCTATGGCCACAGCAGGACAGTGCCTCGGCTGTGCACCTTGCCCTCCTTAGAGATTATGAGCTCACTCTTAACTCTGCAGTGGTTACACTCCACCCAGACGCTTCCAGGTCACACATGATGAGGGGTGCCTGTAATAATACACTGGCTAGCACATGCTGCTTTGCTGAACAACTTTTCCACAGTCTTTGCCAATCGCAATCACTTTGTGAAGAATTTTTCCCATTGAGAGATACAAACACACAAACATCCGGCAGAAGAACACATAGAAGCTTCCCTTAAAGAGAGGTGCGGGTCTCCCAACTGCCACCCTTGACAACACACATCAATAACTCTCCTGCTCCTGAGGCACGGTAAGTGCTCCTTATTGCAGATTTGAAAGTGAAATGAGGACCATTTACAGCACAGGATTCTCTAACCAGATACCAGTAGAACAAAAGTGTGCCTTCTGTTGGAGGTAGTTATTGCAGAATTCACTGGCTACCCCAGTCTTACCCATGTTACCTGCTGTGGCAAAGTCTAAGGTAGAACAAGGGACAGGCTCATGTTTAAAATAAAATAATGAAATAAAATAAACTTGATGGTTGGGGGAGATGGCTCACTGGGTAAAGGGGCTTGCTCCACAAGCATGAAGACCTGAGTTTGAATCCCCAGCATCTACTTAAAAAGCCACATGTGGCTGTGTGCTTATAATCCCAGCATTTAGGTTGAGATGGGAGGGTGAAGACAGGCAGATAAACCCTGAGAGCCGGCTCCCTGGCTAGCTAGCCAAGCCTAAATGGCCAACTTCCAGTTCAGCGACAGACTTTGTCTCACAGAAAAAATGTAGACTATCAGAAGAAGCCACTTCATACCTTGTTCTGCCTTCCATGTGTGTGCTCTACTCACATCCAATTACCAAACAAATGAAACACACAACACACATGAAACAAAAGAACAGAGGGAGGAGGAATGGAGAGAAGAAAGAAGGGGAGGAAGAGGAGGAAAAGGGAAAAAGAGGAGAAAGATGGGGAGAAGAGGGGAGAAGGAAGAGAGAGAGGGAAGGTAGCAGTCAGACTTTCTCAGTTATCCTGACTCCAGTGTCTGGTGGCTGCCAGGAAGTCCAGTGTGTCATGCTGTGGCCTGGTTATTGCTATCCTGCTATAGATAGGCTGCTGTCAGCATCAATGAGTACCAACAGAGGGTGTAGGGTTGGCAGAGAGGAGTACATAGAGCTGAATTCAGGTTGCAAGGGGTGCTACAGGCCCAGAATCCTGGAAAGTAGCAGAGCCAATAAAGCCCTTGATCGTTAGGAATGCGCATCTGCTATGTGAAACTCTTATGGCTTGCTGTTACACTGGTTTGCAATGAAAGTATGAAAGGTGTCCAAACCCTGGGTTGGCAGAATGTAGTCACTGGGAGGAAGCCAGGTGCCCTGGTGGAGAGTTCTGTGCTGCCAAGGCTTCTGAGAGGCAGGAGAACTCTGCCCACTGGCCCAGGCTGAGAAGAAGTCTTCTCTACTGGCAGGAATCTGGTCTTTAGTTTTTACATCTGTGGGTTGCTGGGCTTGTCAACCCACAAGGGTTTCCCTCTTGTTGCTGTTCCTTCCATTCTACTCATGCAACTTGAAACCTGCCCTTCCAGTGCTGTGCCTTTCCCCTTCTGTGTGGAGCAATCTACAAGGTAGTTATTCTAGCTTTCCCAGAAGGCTGACTGGTCTGACAGCTCAGCATGGGGCTTTTTTGAGACTACCTACTGTTTTCCATAGATTTTTAAAACAAACATTATTCCTATATATCTTTGACTAATATGACTTTTTATAAAGTTTTTTTAACATTCTTTTAGAAATTCTCCAGATCTTTTCATATTCCTCTTATGGAAAATTTGCTGTATCCTCTGGTCAAATTCCAGGAAAAGTTCTGTCTTTCCTCTAATAGGAATTACGATTAATTTAAATGTTAATTTACAGAGAAAGTGCATATCTTAACAGCAATGCAGATGGCTAGCAACTTCACCTACTTTTTAGAAATTCAGTGAGGGAGTGGAGCCCTTTCACAGCAGGAAGTTTTGAGTCTGGTTAGGCCACAGTCTGCTCAGCTTCGCCCCTTCAGCCCTTTCTCTTCCTGCTCACCCAGTGGGGGCGCACTGCTTGCAGTAGTGAGGGGAGTAGGACTCATTCTGACAGGACCCTGTCTGTCTCTCAGCAGGAAGAGATCTGAATCACCTTTAGAAAATGGCTTTCTGCATGCTTGCTTGCTTTTTTTTCTTTTTCTTTTTTTTTTTTTTTTTTTTTTTTGAGACAGGGTTTCTCTGTGTAGTCTTGGATTTGCTTTGTAGACTAGGCTGTCCTTGAACTTGCAAAGATACACCTACCTCTGCTTCCCCAAGTACTGGGGTTACAGGAGTATACCACCGCGCACAGTGGCTTTTTCTTTTTTAACTGAAAAAAAAAGATTGTTTCATACAATATACTCTGATTACTGTTTCCCCTCTTCCAACCCTTTCCAGCTCCCCACCCTACAACTGCAAGCAGGCAAACAAATAAACAGAATTTAAAAAACAAAGTGAGAAAACACACACACACACACACACAACCCATAAAAACACAAAACAGGAAACCATAATATTTGAGCAAAAGACAAATTAGACAAAAATAAAAAATAAAAAAATCCAAACAAAGCAATATGAGGCCAAAGTTTACAAAACTACCATTGAGTTTCTTTTGTGTTGGTCATCTGCTGCTGGTAATGGGGTCTGCCCTTAAATGTGGTTAGTATATCCAGGGAGACTCCATTGGAAAAAAAACTAATTCTTCCTTTGCAAGTTGGTCACAAGTGGAGATAGCTTCTGGGTTAGGGATGAGACATCATGACTACTTTCCCCTGTTCAGTACCAAGACCCTGTCTGGCCTGTCTGTTTGGGCCTGTGCATGCTCTGTGCATGCTTCCACAGTCTCTGTGAGTTCATATGTGCATCAGTCTTGTATCTGGAAGACACTGTTTCCTTTGTGATATCTTTAAAAGAAAAGGAAAACTATTCCAGACAATCTGCAGATGACCAGGAAAATCCACCCTGTTTTACAGAGCCAGAAGGTGATATGCAAGCTGTTGGGGGAAAAAAAAAAAAGATACTATGGTCCTGGACCCTGTGCTGGACCCTGAATGCTACAATACTGACCCAACAGGCAAATGATGTCCTGTGGTATAATAATGGCATGGCTGTTATGGGAATAACCAAAGTTTCCCCTTCTAACCAGCCCCTAAGCAACTATTTTCTGACTGGATTTAAAAGTGCTCCTCAGGGGAAACTCATGCTTGATGCTGTAAACCTGGTCAGAAGTGCAAGGCTGGGGAGGTCTTAAGCCCTAGGAGGAACCTTCCACTTTGTTTTGCTAAATGTTCGTGTTGTCAAACTGCCTTCTAATTAGGTATGTTTATACCCACAGATTGTTCTGCTCTCAACTTTGGTCAGAAAAATGTCTTTCTGTAGTGGGCAGTGATTAATGCAGAGAGTCATGGCTGGTCAAAGAGCTGAGGATAAGTGATGGTTGAATGCTCAGCCCTAAAAGAAACATCTTTATCAACACCAACACCACTCTCTGGCCATCAGGGTTGGGGAACAGTGCAGAAGGGAAATGGGAAAAAATTAAGATGTGGAACAGTGCTGTAAAATGCTGTCTTCTGGACACGACACATTTGTTACACTCATGGACTCACCACAGCTGGGGTTACCACATCTAGCTGCGGAGCTACTGGTAGTTGACAGCTGTGGGGAGGAGGAGTCCATTATCTTGGGAGTGTGGCCCGACAGGGTGCCCACGCTCCAGTGGATGACCACACCCACACGTGTACAGGCATCACTAAGTGGACTTAGTTATACTGTTTAAAGGACATGAAGGTGAAGGTGGGAGGGGGTGTGGTGGGGTTGGAAGAAGGCACTGTGGGGGCTAGGTATGATCAAGACGCATGAAATACATGTATAAAATAGACAAAAATATTAAAAAAAAAACCCACTAACCAATATCGCAATGCCAACTTAGGGTGTAAGAAAGGACTTAACCAGTGAGGACATCGGCCCTTGTAGCAGGGACTCATAGGTGCTGTGCAACAGGTAACAAGTCCCACCAGAAGTCCAGAGAAAGCAGAGGACCATTCGGACAGGAACAGGAACCCAAGAGGCCTACTGCCCTCACTCTCACCCTGCTTGCCTCATTCTCTCCTACACTCAAAAGGCTGTAGACTAGCTTGTAACCTGCTCTATTTCCACAGAGCTCAAGCTGTTTCCAACATCTTTGTTTCATTTTTTTTCGGTGCCCTAGACTATCCGTTCCTGACTTGTGGCCACCCTGCCCTCCTTCCTGGGAGATGGAAGGGAGGGGAAAGACACCTGAGGCCAGTAGAGCAGCAAGATTCCCATGGCTTGGACATAGTGGGCTCTTTGAAGAGGGGCCTAGGCTTCTCCTCCCAAGATTCCCATTCCTTCTCCTCTATGGGCTTCTCTCCTGCAGAGCAGTTGGACAGAGGCCCTCACTGGGGACAGAGTTGGGCAGGTAAGTGGGCAGCCAGGTTCCATGACAGGGTCTGCTCTATTTCTCAGGGCACGGTTTCATAGACTAGATAGTAATCAGACCTTTGTGTTCACAGGCTGGTTCTGCACAGTGAGAGCTGGAGAGTCCTAAA